TTGGCATCCCATTCCACAATTAAAAAGGGACTAAATTCAAATTACATTTTCTATACTATCATGTCTATAAAAGTAATTCTTATTATGGAATTTGTTTTTATTTTATAAGATGAATATACAATTATTAGAGATGCACTCAAATGTTTTTTTTTTGCAAAATTTATGTATTTTTCATTTTTATTTTTTATTATTTAATTATGGCATCAAATATTGACACATTTGACCTAAGAGTTGAATTGTTGACTTGGACCAAATAGGAAATCAATTTCATTTTTGGGTTGGTTATGAATTTTTATTTCATTTCCATTATCAATAAAAATAATTATTGTTTATGACACTTATTTTTCTTTAGTATGATTAATAAAATATCAGAGAAATGGATGATTTTTTATACATTTTTTTTTTATTTTGTAAATTTGTTACTATTATAAATATTTTATTATTAATTATGATATCATGGATTCCCCAATTAACCGGGATGGTTGAATTGGCTTACCCACCACTTGGATGGAAGAATAATTTTGTTCTTTTGTTAATTTTAAAAAAGGATAAATTGTTGAAACCTCCCCTAAAGTTTTTAACCACTATTAAAATCTCCCCTGAAGTTTGGTAATTGCAATCACCTCCCTTGAACTTTCTAATACAGTTTCAAGTAGACCCCCTCTCTTAAAATCCTCTAACAAGAGGCACACAAATGTCCAAAATACCCATGTGGTTACTATTGAGGATTATAAGAGAAGGGGTGTACTTGCAACTATGTTACAATGTTTAGAGGAGGTGATTGCAATTACCCAACTTTAGGGGAGATTTTCAGCAATGGTGAAAAACTTCAAGGGAGGTTTTAGAATTTTACCCCTTAAAACACATGGGTTTCATATTGTTAAAAAAGTATTTGATAAACATGGGTTTTAAATTACTTTTCAAAATATTTATTTTTATACTATCAAAATTAATGTTTTGTCTTTAATCCGTAGAATTTAATGATGAAAAAAATAAATCTTAAATATAGAGTTTAATGAGAGAATATATCCAAATAGTTTTAAATTTTACATTCAATTTCCATCATTAATAAAAACATTCCTTATTTATCATACTTATTATTGTTTAATATGTCAAATATATTATAATAAAATGTTTCCAATTATTTTTTATTTTTATATTTTTGCATTTTATTTACTTTTGAATTTTATTATTTAATTGTGGCAACATGGATTAACTCATTTGACCCAAAATGGTTTAATTTCTTACCACCACCTAGATGAGTTTTTATGTTAATGGAATGATTAATTTATTATGTATGGATTTAATTAATATAACTTAATGATGAGAAGAAACAACGATGTTTTAAATATATGGTTTAATGAAGGTTAATGTAAGTTAATTCCTTAAATGTTAATGAAAGGTAATTGAATGCATTGAATATCTTAAAATCACATATTTTCAACTCATTTTATATCAATAATTAATTACCCTATTTTCCCTCATTTTTTATCAATAAATTTAAATATGGAGGGGTAACTTTTTTCCTTAAAAAATTTCAGAAATATTCTTGAGGCTATTCATGCTTTTTAAAGTAGTATAGATTTGTTGTATTTCATCAGCTAGTGGGTTTCTAGTTGATAGTTGCTGAGTATTTAAGGATTGAACATTACAAAGGTTGGGATAACACCTGTAAGTCTATCTAGGTTGAAGGTCTTGTTGGCACCTGGGAAGTCCAAATGTTATAAAGGTTTTACTAGTACCTAGGAAGTCTAGCTGGTTTAATGGAAAATCTTAGGTGGTGTGCCTAGGGAGAGGATGTAGGCCTAGGTTGGCCAAACCTCTTGTCTATGTTTCGTATTTTAGAGTAGTTTTTTAAACTTGTTGATATTAATTCTACACATTGCTATCTGTTTTTACACAAGAACCTTGTATGATGGATCTTTGTTATTTTTTGCATAGCACTCAAGTTTGAAAAGACATTAGTTGGGGAGGTAACTTTATAGAATCCAATTCACCCTCCTCTTGGGTTAGGCTATCTAGGCAACAAATATGTTTCTTTATATAGACATTAAATGGAGAGTCTCTTAACATCCATTAAGTTTCTTGCATAGGCCTCAACATCAACCTATGGGATATAGATGTGTTAGGTCGTAGTTGCATAGGTAGGCCTGTAAATGGAGCAAACTTGAATTGAATCAAGTCATATTCATTTCGATTATAGATTAGCCGATCCGGATTCAATTTGATATCCGCTGAATATTCAAAATTATTAACTAAATTCAAATTTGATTAAAGAATCAAATATTCGGTTCTATTTGAATTCAACTGATTGTATAAACATTGAAAACCCTATTCTAAAAATTAGATTAAGAAGGAAGAAACCCCTCCAACATTGTTATCAGTTGTGAACAAGAAAAGGAAAGCTGAAAAATAAATAAAAAAAGAATGGAAAAGAAAAAGACCTCAAAAATCAAGAACCAAAATGAAAAGAAACAAAACTCAAAAACCTTAAACAAACAATGCATAAAGAAAAAGAATAAAGGAATAGCATGAGATCTTCGGCAATAGCTCCAATCCATAGAAGTCGAAGTTCAAACGTCAAAACTAGAAATGCCATGAAACCCTTTACCTTCAACATTACCTGCTTCTTAAAACATCATAAATGGAAATACCATGAAACCCCTTTATCTTAAAAAATATATGGTGTTCTATCCCTTCTCTATGCACTAACTTTGAACATCGGAAGTTAGAGGCCAAAGTTTGAACAAACACAATAGCTTCAGTCTTGCAAAGTTACAAGTTAACAGGGGAGGAGAGATAAGAGAAAGGGAAGGAAAGCAGGGGAGATGCAAGATAGAGAAGTCAGTCTTGTAGAGTTATAGGTTAATAGGGAGAAGAGATAAGAGAAAGGGAGGGAAAGTAGGGGAGATGCAAGATATAGATAAAGGGGCTAATGAGTTATGATATGTTAGTATAATGAGTGGCATAAAGCTATACAAGTAGCCAGGTCTTATTGTCAGCACCTGGTTTTTGCTTGGTCTACCCCTTGAACCTCCAATTTATCCCAAACACCCGATCAGACCCTCCTAATCTCTCAGAAACACCTAAAAACCCAAATTTCTATGATCTTGACCCCCTGAACCATTCAAACATTACCACCAAATCCTGAATACCCTAAAATACCCTCTTGTAAAATTGCAGCCCAAAATACCTTTGTTTTCCCTCCAATTGCACCAAGATTCTATTTCGAGGCTCTAGATTGACCAAATCAAGCTCTTTTTAGATCTGTCCAATACGAGCCCATTTGGCCCAATCTAACCCCACCAATCAACTCAGAATGTCTAAAAATCTCACCTACCAAATTTCAGTAAAAAATATCTCCATTTACCCATCCATCTAGAAGGATTTCATTTCAGCCTATCTCATTGGTCCACACATGCAAAACCACTTTCTACAATCAGACCCATCTCAACCCTCCATTTTTTTGACCCAAAACCACCCATCATTGAACCAGGACCTCGGTTTGACCCTTGGACCAATTTTGACCCAAATTTACAAAATTATAAAATTATCCTAAACTTTTAAAAATTTATGAAAATGCCCTTATACCCCACATATAAATTTAAGGGAAAATTCCCGATAGGTACCCTGTACTTTAGGCTGAGTACCATTTTAGTACCTAAACCTTAAAATGCGATAATCTAGTACTCGAGCTTTCATTTTGCGACGATTTAGTACCCGATGTTGACCAGTCATTAAGTGGCATGCAAAAATACAAAAATGCCCTTCAAGTGTCATCTAATTTTCTTTATCAACCATCCGGTAAAACCAAACCAATAATGCCGCCTATTCATCGTCTTGCCTCTTCTCTTCAATGGAGAAACCTTTTCAAGCTCTTTTGCTTTCTCACTCACCATTACCTTTTTCTTGTTGTTCTTTGGGATACTCTTTCTTCTGCTCTTCCAAAAATAGGAGAAAATTCTATCTGCTTCTCTCTTACTCTCTTTATTCTTTGTTAATCTAGTGGGGTTTTACTTTACTCTCATAGTTTCATTGCTATTCTTTTGGGGGTTATGAGTTTCCTCAATTATGGATTTGAAAATGATTGTATTTTCGGAGCAATTTTCTCATGCTATCTCTTCACGAACAGGCTACGCCATCACCATTTCCACCACTCCCATCAACGCCATTTACCTCCAATAAACCACCTCCTCCTCCTCCACCACCACCACCACCACCCCTACAACCATTCGTGTTGCCGACCTGCCCTTTTGCAACACCGACCATGGTTTACCACCCAACACCGAAAACACAGAAGCCTTGCCAAACTATCACATGAAAACCTCTTCCATGCCTCACAAACCCTTGAGCCTTCCTTCCACAACCTTGTCTCCACCATCACCTAGCAAGACGACCAGCCTCCATTGTGCATCATTGCCGACGTCTTCCTTGGATGGTCAGTTAACGTTGCCAAGCGCGTTGGATCATTCCATGCCGTTTTTACCACCTATGAAGGCTATGACATGGCCACATACTTCTCTTTGTGGTTAAACCTCCCACACCGCCACACGGACTCCGATGAATTCACCGTACCGGGTTTCCCTGAAACATGTCGTTTCCATCGCTCACAGCTTCATCCAAAACTGAGATCCGTAGATGGTACTGACCCCTGTTCTATTGTTTACTAGAGAGAGCTACGACTCTCTTTGGGTTCAATGGCTTCTTGTGTAACGCAGCTGAGGAAATGGAGCCATTTGGGTTAGAAATATTGAGAAAATTTACGGGAGTTCCAGTTTGGTATATTGGACCTTTACTACCTCCAGCATTTCTTCTTAACCTTCCCTCTCCCACTGATTCCAATTTATCCTCCTTACGTGCGAGAAAGCAACCCGATATCACACCGGAGAATTGCATCAAGTGGTTGGATTCCCATTGACCTGGTTCGGTTCTATACATCACGTTTGGATCTCAAAACACGACCAGTGCTACCCAAATGATGGAACTATCTGGGTTGTTAGGCCACTTGTTGGGTTTGATATAAATGGTGAGTTTAAGGCGGAATGGTTGCCAGAAGGATTCGAAGAAAGTGTTACCAAGAGTAGACAAGGTCTCGTTGTGCGAAAATGGGCACCTCAGTTGGAGATTCTCTCGCACAAATCGAAGAGCGTGTTTCTTAGCCACTGTGGATGGAATTCGGTTTTGGAGAGCTTGAGCCAAGGGGTGCCGATTATAGGGTGGCCATTGGTAGCAGAACAGGCTTATAATTCGAAGTTGATGGAAGAGGAGATAGGTGTTTGTGTGGAATTGGCAAGGGGACTGGACGGTAGGGTCATGAGTGGGGAGGTGGAGAGAGAAATTAAGTTGGTGATGGGTGGGGGAGAAAATGGGAAGGAGATGAAGATGAAGGCGAGTGAAGCTGCAAGAAAGGTAAGAGCTGCAGTGGAAAAAGGAGATCAGTTGGGGTCTTCGATTAAGGCACTTGACGGTTTTTTAGAGATTGCGTTGTCGTAGAGACGAAGCTCTAGTTTAAATGAAGCAAATGAATATCCTTCTTAAGAGAATTGAAAATGGTGGAGGGTGTGATTGGGAAAGCAGATGAGGTGGTGGAGAAGAGAGCTATATTGCTATAGCAGTTGCAGAGAAGACAAAACAATGTTGAGGTTACTTTTTATTTTAGCCTATTGTTTTCCAATATTCTATTATTCTCTCGATCGGCATTTAGAACAGAGAGTATAAAACAAAGCTATGGGCTCAAGCTTTCGAAAGGACACTTGGGTGTATTATTTTCTTTCTTTTGTTCAATGTGTTAATCTCCACTGATGTATTGCAAACGGGTGTTTCCGTAATCCACGTACCCGCCTTACACTGGTAACCCTCGTTACACCACCTTTTGGAGGTGGAAGTGGACTTCCAGGGACAAATCCTCCACCTTCAACTAGTCCAACATGCCCCATCAAGGCGCTAAAACTAGGGTTGTGTTTGGATGTTCTTGGTGGGTTGGTACACATTGGATTAGAGAACCTAGTGGAAAATGCTTGTTGTCCGGCCTTAAATCGCTCGAAAATTTCCCTAAATTTAACACATTCTAGTATTACATTGTTCAGCCTCTTCCTTCTCTCAACCGAACAGAGCGACGACGGTGATTGGTTCAACACAGATCGTCCCCCTCTTTCTCTCTCTCTGTCTTTTCTCCCTTTCTTCCTCTTCTTCTTCTTCTTCCATCATCAAATCACCCAAAACACACCCCTGTTCATATTCTTCCTCACGATCGATAGAGTTGGTGAACCAGCAGTGGTAGACCTCCTCTACCTTTGGTTTCTCTTTCCCTTTATCCATTTTCCCTTCTCTTGGACTCCCTCTCCCTTTCTCTCCTCCCTCTTTTTTTTCAATTTTTTTTCTTTCTCCGATCGCCGCTGCAACTCTTGGCACCCTTTCCTCTTCGGCCTCTCTTCTCTTCCATATTTCTCTCTTCATCTCTCTCTCATTTTTCTCTCGCAGCCCGTTCCTCTTGTACATCTCCATCATCCCTCTCTGTCTTCTGATTACCGAAGCTAATTCATTGACTAGGAGTATCATTCGTCGCCTTTGACCTCAAGAAGGAGAACAGAGCAGCAGTGCTGGAATCACGTCCCACTCGATCCCTTTCTTCTTCTCATTTTCATCGGCAGCGGCATCAGGGGATCTTCTACCCGGTTAACAATTAGGGGAGGATAACAATAGAGAGAAATAAAAAGAAATACAACAAAAAAATGATAAAATATATAAAAAGAGAAGTAGACAAGTTTTAGGATAGAATAGGATAAATAGCAAAAAAAAGGGAGGATAAAAATAAAAGAGGTTTTAAAAAATATATACTAGATAAAATGAATAAGTGAATGAAGTATTGATGATCAAAATGCATAAAAACTTAGAGAAGAATAACGATATTCAAAGGGGAATTTTCTAAAAAAGAAAAAAATAGTGGAACTATAAGTATCACCATTAGGAGATTACCCTTAAGATTGGATTTTTGGAAGCTCAAACATTATAATTTCCCCCATCGAGGCTAGTTGACTACTAGGTGAAAACAGTATCAAGGGTTGGTTTAGTTCAGTTACTTATAGTTCCCTAAACCAAACCGAATATATTGGGTTGACTACTATTGCAACCAAAATGGAGCAAAAGTAAGAAAACACCAACTTGAAATAGTAAAGATCGGACGGTCATTTTGTTTGATTTCAACCAAACTAAGACCTCTTGTTGTTGATCAGGCATGGAGTCACAACCCAAGAAGATTTTACCCGTTCCTAGTCATAAATATCTATCAAATCTTTAAACACATCCGTCATTGGTAATATATAGTAGAGATGAAAATGTTCTCTTTCAGGTACAAAAGTACAAGTACAAGTAGACCTTCTCTAGGTCTATTTTTATTTTTCTTGGTTCTCCTTGGGTGTTGGGTTCGGAATGTGAGTATTCCTCCTTGTTGGGTTCCTCGGGTTAAGGCTCCTCATTGGGTGGGGTTTAGAGGTTCCTCTCGTCTAAGCTTTTTAAATAAGGCTTGGATTTCCTTGTTCCCAAGTGTCATTTTTTCTCTTCTACCTCGACTTAGTCTGGTTTCATCATCAACCTTTTGTCTCTTTCTCTTGCCCATTGTGAATGGAGAATAATATGTACGAGCTCCAATAAAGTCAATATGGGAGTGGATATGTTGGACGTTAGGGGACATTCGGATCTGGCCCGATTCAAAGAATGACAATACTGTGTCATTGGGCGTCTGTTCTCAAAAACTATTTTTCCAGTTTCAGGATGTGAGTCGAGCCCTCATGGCAGCCTGGAGAATCAAAGAAGACTAGGTAAGGATCCTTCCTTTCCAAGGGGGACATTTTAGAGCGTTGTTTAGAGAGAAGAGCGATTTTGACTCTGTCTTCATGGATGGTTTCTGGGTTCTCTTGAAGGAGTGACATGTAGGGTAGGTATGAAGTGGAGGTTTTGGGTGTAAATACATGACCTACCTTACGATTGTATGGATATGGGTGTTAGATGATGGATGGGATAGGGCGGCGAATGTTGAGCTCTTGAGTGGGGCTATTGGTGGAAGTGTATGGGGATATGATTAATGATAACTTGAGCAATTCAGCGGTCAGTAACCTAGAGAAGAAGCATACATCATTGAGCTGACAGGTGGGGACTTGGGTAAGAGACAAAGGATGGAAAATGGGGATTAGGATTAAGGAAAGGAATCCTAAAGGATACGAGTTTGGATTATGGGGGACCCACTTGTTTCATTTCTTTGACCTGTAGGTATTTTCTGTTTTGGAATGTTTTCCTTTTGATGTTTGCTGGCCAAACACTAGGAGGGATTTCTGGGGGTGGGAGTAGCAGGGGGAGCAGAGGGAGCAGAGTTTCTTCTTCCTCCTCAGGTATGTTTGTTCTTTGTATTAATAAAGTGGGTGGTGGTGGATGGTCCATATATAACAGCCAAACGGGGGCCATGAGGATATGTAGTTGGAACTGTCAAAGGGCAGACGACCTCCAATAGTTACAAGCCTAAAAGACTTAGTTTCACCGAGGAAAATTAGATCAGGATTCCTCCCCAAAAACTAAGGCTTCCTCGTCTCAGACTAAATTAGTGTCTCTACTCCACTACCCAAACTTTATGTTTGCCCCTCCAAATGGCCTTGTTGGTGGTTTGCTTGTTTTCTGAAAAGCAGGTTTTGATATTTCTATTCAGTTTAGTACTCAAAACTATATTATTTCGAAAATGTTGGTGGGTCCTGACTCCTCCCTTGTTTACTAGTGTCTATGTATGAGGAGCTGAATAGAATACTTCCATGTTCTTTTTTGGGAAACTATCTACAATCATCTAACTCAACTGAACCTTCCCCGCTTAATCATAAGAGATCTGAATGAAGCTATCCATTTAGATGATAATGGTATGGTTTCCTTTGTCTAAGGAATAGGGTCCAACAGAAGTAAGGAGACCTTGAATTTTATTAACCTGATTAGAGATATGGATTTACAGGAGATTAAGGCTCTTGGAGGTGGTTTGATTAGGGGAAAGGTACCCAAGCTAAGAATCTTGAGAGAGCATTAGTTTCCCTAAATTGGATTCTTTTGTTCACCTCTACTTCTTTAACCTTGGGCCCAGAGTGGGGTTCAGATCATAATGCCCTCATCCTAGACTTAAGTGACGTTTGATAACACTTTCCAAATGTAGGTCTGAAAATTTTGCTTTTCAAACCTTATGGGTGTTTGGGTTTAGGTTTGATTAGCGGATCTGAAACACAAATTCAAATCTGAAATGGTAAGACTTTGTTTCATGTCTTACAAAAATCAGATGCATTTCAAACATGATAAAATGACATTAATGCCCTCATTAATGTCATCTATTTAATAATAATAATAATAATAGTAGTAGTAGTAGTGGTAATAATAATAATAATAATAATTATTATTATTATTATATTATTATTATTATTTCATAATATAAAAATATTGTTTAATAATCATAAATGTTAGTATGAAATATTTATTATTAATTAAAAATATAATATTTTCTTTATTTGAATAAATAATAATATTTATATAGTAATAAGAATATTTAATAATATGTTTATTAATAATAAGTAATATATATATATATTTATTATTAGTTAATAATAATAAGTAAATATCGTTATCAATTAAATAATAAACAATATATTTTATCAAAGAATATTTGTTTATTAATAGAATAAACAAAAGTCATAATATTAATAGAATACTATTAATAGAATACTATTTTATTTAATATTCTTTTTATTGTTCATAATATTATCAAACAATATATTTTTAAGGGTAAAATAGTAAACTTCACAGTTATTGATGTTGGAGAATTGCTCCAACTCAAAATGATCTTATCTTTTTAGAGCCTTTAAAAAGAAGAAAATCATTTCCACTTCTTTTTAGATTTCAGACCTGAATAATAGATTTTTAGCTTTCCAGACATTAGACTTCAGATTTATCAAACGCCACTTTAGCTACTAAAGAAATCCATAAGCCAAGACCTTTCAGATTCTATCAAATGTGGTTGTTAAAAGAGGACTATCACTAGTTAATTCAAGAAGCCTAGGACTCAAATTTGGGGGGGGGGGGGGGTTATTGCAGCCTTTAGAATTTAGAAGAATCTTAGAGGGCTTACTACTAAGCTGAGTGCTTGGAATAAAAATGTCTTTGGGGATATAAATAAGAAGTTGAGTATCATTGATAGCCAATTGGAAGATTTAAAATTGGGAAGAAATAACATTGGAGAAGGACTTCATTCTCCAATGTCAAGAGCTACATTGGAAGCAAAGCTTTAGGCAACTCTAGCTTCAGGAAGGAGATAGGAGCACTGCTTACTTTCATAAGATGGCTAGTCTACGACAAAGGAGAAATAAAATATCCTCGATTAAGGACAAAGAAAGATAGTGGGTTTCAAAGCATGAAGAGATTAGTGAAACTATTGTTGATCAATTCACAGATATCTACACCTTCCAAGGTTGCCAACA